TCCGAGTGCATATTTGATCCGCAATTCCAGCAAGCTGGAGCACGGGAGTAGCCACGGGTGACGTGGAAGCCCAAACAGCGTTTGCACTGTTCAATTTTTTGACGAGGCTTTAGAATGGTCGCCACTCCAGACTCGCCGAGAATACGGAAGACCGCGCGAGGGGCGATGTCCCGGGCGAACTGGGCTTTCCAATTTCTGTACTGCGCTCCAAGACGGAATGTCCCGCGCGGTAGCACCTGGGTTGGAAACTGCTGCGTTTACCTATGTATTTCATATATTATCCTTTCCGCATCGATCGTATAGATACCGCCGATCGTTCTCATGGTCACTGGAACGTTCGCGATCCGAAAGGTAACAAGGTTGGAGGCTTCCTCGAACATGGCGTTGAATTCCGCCAACTTCGGTGTAACCTCTAGGAGCTCTTCCCTTATTTCCTCATTCCCTGTCAGAATAGCAAAGCCGATTCTGACACGGTGAATAGTGCAGGCGTCACTCAGGGTGCACTCCAGCTTGATTTGTAGTTGTTGCCTTATTCCGAGAGTCGGAAAATGGCGCCAAGGGTACTCCTTTTCCAGGCGAAGGAACAGTCGTTTGTCGACTTTCGCCTTGGGAGCTTCTTTATTTAAATCTTTGGCCGCAGGTCGCGGCACAGCCTTCGCAGTTGGGACTACTTTCTGTCGCAGTCCGTTCCTGGCCACCGTAGTCCAGGTGCTTTTTACAGGCAGAACTGGGACGGCGGGAGTTGTATTGCTCCTGGCTTCGGGAGCCCTTGGGGTTGGGTTAGCCGGGCGAGGAGGGAGGACGGGTGGCGTGGAGGCCGGGCCCGTGGCCATGTATTGCGCAATGTCGGCGCGTAGGTAGACTCTCATCGAGTCTACGAATTGTCTATTTGACTCGCTGGTCAAAGGGAGGAGGGTTGCTTCGATGCCAGAGATGGCGGCGTAACAGAGGGCCAGGTTTGCTGCTGTTTTGGCGGCGCGTCGTTGTTCAGCTTCGACAATTGGTCGAAGTTCCGGAGAGCACTCTGCTTTCGTGGCAGCTTTGGGCTGCGACGTTGATTTTGACGCTGCTTTGACTGCAGCGTTCTCCGAGGGTATTTGCGTGGTCGGAGGAGATTTTGACGATTCTCCAGTCCCGTGAAGGACGGAGGATGGTTGAGGAATTTCTTCAATAATTTCGACTGACCCGATAATGTCAGTATTGGGCTCAGTGACGACGGGGAGGGCTTTTTCCTTCCCTTTGGTAGAGACGTTGCTCATCTCCGCGCATTTTGGAGACTGGGCAAGGTCAGTTAATTTTTCGAGAGCCCTTGGGCGGACTCTCGTGTTGTCCAACTTGGCGTTTGGACGCTTTTTGCGAACTGGAGGCATTGTGAAAAAAGCCTACGCTCGATCACAATTCGAAGATAAATGCGACGAGATCGAGATGGGATGAAAATGGGAAATTTCAAATACCTCGAATTCTTTTTTTTTTTTTTTTTTTTTTTTTTTTTACATTTGGTCCTAAGCTAACGCTATCTTTTCCACATTTGGTCAAGGACCGGTGGAGCCGGCAAGGATCACTGCGTACAGGCCCAACTCATTCCAACCGCATGAACTTCTACTGAAATTGTAGAAGTTAACAGCAAAACTAAAATCAAAAACATAAATCAAAAACTAAAATCAAATTTGCAAGAAATACTGTTTGGTCCGGATCCCGCACTTCTCGCCCGTTCCCTTTCCTGCCACATCTTCCACGTGACTTTTTCTTATCTCCGCTGAGAGCGAAAGACTAGTTTGCAGATACTCTGAATTCAGCTGGTATCCTGCTATATACTTTGAAGCTTTTTGTAGACTTCACCGAGGGTTGCTGTACCCTCAGACTTCTTCTTCGGATTCCAGGATTCCGAAACCCGATCCCTCGGCCATCGAGACATCCTTCGTTGAGGCCATCGTTGCCTCTTCGGCCCTTTTGGCTGCAGCCCTAAATCGAGCCACTTTCGCGAACTCCCCTTGCTGGATCTGGCAGATCCGCGCGAGCTGCTCTTTTGTCACCGGTCCGGACTTGCTTGGTCTGGCTAAGCAGGTCCGGGGATCCGATCGGTGAGGTCCCCCACAGTTTCGACACCGGGTGAGGGCCTTGCACTCTGATTCTGAGTGCATATTAGATCCGCAATTCCAGCAAGCTGGAGCGCGGGAACAACCACGGGTGGCGTGAAATTCAAGACACCGTTTGCATTGTTCGATTTTGCGACGAGGTCGGAAGAGCTTTGCAGCCCCAGAGTCGTCGAAAAGGCGGAATCCGGGTCGAGGAGCGGATTCTCGAGGAAAGAGCGCTTGCTAATTTGAGTAGGGCGCCCCTGGTTTGCTAGTCCCATGAGGATGAACTAGAAAGGGAACCAACTGGGTCACTCGCGTGACTTCGTCGGCAACCATCTTTGCCGTCACGGCGATTGGGCCAGCAAGAGTTCGAATTGTCTCCGGGACGGTGGCAATTTGCATGGCAACCAGATTTGATGCTGGTTCCGGTTTGATTCCAGATTCGCTCCGTGATGTGGAGAAATCTAGGAGCTCTGTTCGAGCGAGTTCATCCTTTGCGGTTATTGCAAAGCCGGTCTTTACCCGCTGAACCAACGTGATATTGTTGGCAGCGGTTCCCGGCGCCTGAGACACCGCTAGCCTTACTCCAGCTGGGGAGAGGAGACGGTGGGGGTGGAAGTAGTCAAGGCGCAGAAAAAGTCGTGAATCGGCTTTTGCCCTCGAGTTGGCACTCTTTGCTTTGGGGGCGGGTGGTGCTGCCTTTTTTGTCAATGGCCCAGCGCTGCGGGCTAGGCCTACCCGAGCTACGGTGGCCCAAGTTGTCTTTGGGGCCGGAGCCTGGGTTGTTGGAGGGTTAGGAACCCTTATTTCTGGTGCCCTCGGCGGAAGAGGGTTGGCGGGGCGAGCAGGGAGAACTGGTGGTGTGCTCCCTGGGCCAGATTGTACGAACTGGCCGGTGGCTGCTCGAAGATAGACTTTGATTCCGTCTACAAATTCTTTTTTATCGCCAATCGAAAGAGGCGAAAGTGCTGCTTCGACACCGCCGATTGCAGTCGAGCAGATGGCGAGGCGGGCCGTAATTTGCGTCGTACGTCGCTTTTCGGCCTCCATCACGGTTTGCAGCTCTGGTGGAAACTCCATTTCTGATGTCGATGCTGCGCCTTTAGAGGCTGGCACAGCATTGTTTCCTGCAGATGATTCTGCACGTTCGGTTGTCTTTTCTCGAACAACTTCCTTTCCTTTCCTGGAGCTGCTTGCCAAAGGGGGCAGTTCGACGGGGGTTTTGGTCTTGGGACCATTGTTTTCTGCTCTGATCGGTTCAGAATCAGTCATCTCTTGATCGGGAAGATTTGTGGACTTCCCTGGGACAAAGGCCTCACTCGCAATTAGGCTTGATAATTTTTGCGCGAGGCCAGTAGGTTTTGGACACAATGGTGTCCGTTCAAAGCCGGCTGAAGTTGTCGGCTTTGGGCGATTTTTTCTCACCGGAGGCATTTTAAATACCTCGCGACGGTTAACAATTCGAGAAGTCAAGCACAGAAGTGATCATAGGAATGGAAAATGGGAAAAAGGGAATTTTCGAATTTCTCGAAATGTGCGTTTGTTTTCTATTTCTCTTCCTTCGGGGCGCCAAGGTTGACTTTGGTCCCTACTACCCGCTAAACTACCTAGAGGCATGGACGCCAGTGCTTACTGCCCTGGTGGCTTCACCCTTGCTACTTCCTAACTAGGTTTGCAGGGCAATTCTCTAATCACATGATTGCGTTTAGCACAGCACCTGCACTTTTTTCGCCAGTCCCCTAGGCTCTTTACTCATTTGATGTATAACAACCACTCTTGAGATACTACTGCTAGATCCGTTCTTAAATACAGCACCATCCATCCATAATGCAAGGCTCAGAGTTGAACGACAGGATCAGGGTGTTTGAATGAATTTGGTTTCCTCCTTTGTAAATAATGAAGATAGTCACCTGCATGGACCCATAATGTGCCTGATCAGGTTAGATGAATTCAAATTCAAAATCTCACCACAGATATAATTTAGGAAATTCTACGTAAATACTTCCAGGGACTAGATTCTGAATCATCCCAGAAAAACAATATAATAAACTTATGCAACAATACCTTAGTTTTGGAAGAAATTACTACTCTCAAAACAAATCCTGGAAATGATTAACATAATCAATCTTTGTAGCTAATACTTCATGGCCGGATGTCTCCAAAAGTGCCTCTACTTCTAGCGGTGTAATTCAGGGTTTGATATTACTAGTATGATTCATCATGGATTGTGATGTCGTACGTCTCATATTTAGGACCGGAATGACGACGAAAAAGATTTGCTGTCAGTTCAGTTCACGCTTGTCTCACGTAAATATTTTCATTGGGCTTAAATTAGAAAGCATCATGGATCTGTATTATGTAAAACTACTAATTACAGTACAGATTAAGACAAATTGAAATGCCAGATACCATTTATTTTAGACTTTTATCTTGGGCAGATTTACTGATTAAGAAGCACGAGAAGTTGTAGTAAAAGTTTTTGATGATATGGCAAGTTGTGCTAGGAATCCAAGGGCCTAACCATAATAGGTGTAAAAATAATTTAATTCTTCTTGCTCAAACATATAATTGAAGTGTAATTTTGAGAGGAAGTCTCTTCTACAAATTTGAGCTTCCATTGTTTCATTAAATGACGACAAAGCTTGGCCTAACCATTTTCTGAACCAGCTTTCTCTTTGGTTAACCGTGTAATTCTTATATGATCAACTTATATCGTAAGGCCAGATGTTAGCAAATTAAAATTCAGATAGGAAATAGTCTAGCCATCAAGGTTTGTCTGACATGGTGCAGAAATTCCCGAAATTGTTGTGATTAATTACGAGAACAATATCGAGATCCTACAAATTAAGGTTCCAACATAGCATAAACGATTTAAACTGAGGTCTGTATTAAAAATTGTGCAAATATATTAGCAGTTAAAATTCAAGAGACCTCCCATTCTGAATCTTCTGACAAGGTTTCCTCTGTTGGAACTGGCCTTATGTTAGGTAATGGGCGAGGCGTATCTAATGGCTGGGAAGTTATCGCTGGGCTATTTGAGATGGGAGCTGCATGCGTTGCAACTCGAACTTTTGAGGGATCCATATCATCGCTTGCATTACCACGACTTTTCTTTTCCCTGCCCTTAACTACACTCCAGGCTCCGGTTTCCTTGATGGCAAACTGAACTTGCTCTTCCTCGGATAGAATCGTGACTTCCTTTTTTGCACCAGTAGTCTCTTCGCTTTCAGAGTGGTTTGGTTCAGCAGTAGATCCTGTGTTGCTACTTGAATTTTCAAAAGTATCTAATAGTTGGATGCTACTTGGAGCTGAACTCTCAATTTTTTCGGTAGAGTCAGTTTTCCAGACGGAGGCTGAAGAAGCCTGAGATGCCATGAATACACGGCCATCTTTTGGTGCTCTACCTTCAGATTCACGAGCGATACGCCGCTGACGCTCTAGCTTCACTTTGCGGGCTTGTTCTTCCTCGCTTCTGGCAAGGGCTGCATCCTTTGCCTTCTGTCGGTTTTGACGTTGCTTTTTTGTCATAGCAGGCTCCTCAGTCTTTTTTGTATTACGTTTCTCTGATTGAACATTTGGCGCAGACGCAGTAATCTTAAGAACACCAGGATGAACTTGTGGCATTTCGAGCATATCAGAGACATCATCGTTGGAAAAACTTGGAGCAGCGGCTGCAAGGCTTTGTTTAGATGAAGCAAATGCTGACTCATCGTCTGCCTCGTTTCCTGTGGTATTTTCTAAGCTTTCGCATCGTTGTTTTTCTTCAAAACAGTCTTGCTTCACTGGTTTTGGTTTATGAGCAGGCTGAGATGTTAATGTATGTTCTTTGATTTCTGCAATGTCCAAAATTTTCTCAGTATTATTTGACCTATGAAGCTCCTCTTCTTCGCGGGACTGATTTTGTTTTGTGGTCTTGGATTTGAGAGACTTATTTTGTTTCTTCTTGGTCTGTCGAGTTACATTCTCACCACTCTCTGAACCTACATCTTTGCGAAGCTTCTTTGTAAGTTGTTGTTCCTTTCGAGACTCAGTTGATCTCGAGACCACTTTGTTGGTCGCGGTGCGTTTATTTTTGTTCTTTCGTTGATTACTTGCAAAGTAAATTCCACCCGCCACGAGAAGAACAACACTCCAACCTACAGCTGCAGTAGTAGCTGTATGCATATTGTAAGATAAAGTCGTGTAAAGGTGAGATAGTTCTAAGTGGGTGTTGTGAAAGGGTTCCTATATAGAAAACGTTGCGATACGGAAACGATACGACTCAGGAGACTCGTAAAAGTACACTTATGTTTTAAGATTGTACACAGATAGATGAGGCCCACATGTAAGGAGCCTTAGAAGGCGGCGAATGTGAAAATTTTCAAATGTATTGGTGTGGTATACATTGCAGCAAGGATAGGTTCTAAGGTAAACGTGGAACTTGCGTTGCTGTTTATTATCTAAGCAGACACGAGCAAGCTAGTTGCTTGAGCTCCCCGCAATCACCTTTTTGATAACACGCAAAAATCTTTTCAAGCTCTTCAGATTTATTACCGGTCATTCAAACATCTGAATTGTTACACCAGCTCTAATTAATATGAGCTTCGAGTTGAAGCATGATTATAACGCGAAAATTTGTTAAAATCTGCTATGCGAGTTTCGGTACAACTGGTTTGCAGGCAACAATGTCATGGTATCAGCTTCGACTATTCCATAGTCCAAATTTTGTAGATTAAGAGAAATTCAACCTCAAGAAACTTCAAAAGACTAACTATTATTCATAGTAAGGAATTGAGACTAAACGAATGTCTAAAGTGATCTCTAGAAATCTTGAGCTCCTACCATAAAGCCTTCGAAGCCGAAGTTAAAACTATGCTCGCCAGGAAATCCTCTTTAGTCATGGAGTTAAAGTTATACCACTGTACCTGAGATGGCACAAAAGGTTTAGGCTGCTCTGCTTCAGAGGAAACATTCTGTGTCAAAGCTCTTACATGTTAACACAGCCTTATAATATGCCAGAGGTGCGAATGATAGAAAGAGCTGAAAGAAAGCGATAGAGGCAGATTCTAGATTTGCTGGCTATACATAAGTGTAGCATCCGACTAGCAGGTCTTTTCAAACGTTTTACATGGGTAGCTATGTCTTCAAGTTAGTCCTGGTCTCGCTAGTAGGAGAGCCCTGCACCCAGCAGCTTTTACAAGAATTCCCAGCTACGATACATTCTCAAATAGCCAACAAATAGTTAGCTTGAGAGGGAAAATAGTGAAGGACAAGGGGATCGTGCGAGTGCTGGACCAAATAAGGGCTCGTGGGGGATGGTACTATTTGAGGGGAGCTATATACGAGACTAGGTAGACTATACACTGCCCAAGACATAAGTATCCTTGGTGCGTAGGTACAGAGGACCTACATCTCCCGAATAGCCTTATGCTAAGAAATAATAATACTACACAACATACGATAATTGATTTTGGAAAGAGCTCGCGATGTTACATCTGACTACTTCAACGTTGTTCGAGCTCTATCTCGTAACTTTTAAAAGTGTGCGTTAGTTTACGTTAAGAGGAACTGTTTCACCTATTCATGTAAACTAAGCTAGTCAGGTCACATGATCTGACTATCAATACATAGGCTTCATCTGCAGCAGTGGGGCTCTTTAGTCAATATTTACAACGTAATACCGTGTCCCACGTATCTTTCTTAAGAGTTTATAGCATAAGTTTTTAATTTTTCACTTAGTAATGTGATAGTCATTTAGAAACCTCTGCATTCCTTTGGGTTCTTGAACACGAGTGGAACCGGGCTAGACGAGATCAGCTAACATTAAGTACAAGAAACTCGTTATACCTGAATGATCGGAATGCCACGGACTTCACTTCTGCGTTAGAAACTGACAGTTTGGCTGTGAAAAGAGTTCAAAGTTGACGCGTCGATTCACAGACTACTCCATAGGTTTGGCATCCAGACGCAAGAGCTCTTGTAGTTATCTTTTTTTATTCCAATTATTTTAGTCACAGCTCTATCTCGTTCCACTATCTTCTCAGATCATCTAGGGGTCGTTTTCTTCCTCAAATGACCATCCAGTCGATTATCGAAGCCGCCTCAGTTCTGTGTTACATCTACTAGTTTGTTGTGGAATTTTCTTTATCTATCTGCTAGTACTGCCATTTTAAAAATATTCGAGACTATCCAGTTCCCGGCCCTAACCACTTCGCTGCCTTACCTCAAACCGGGGAGGCTGAAAATTCGTCGAAGACCTGAAAGCCACGGCTTTTGCATAATCCCTTCCTTAGTGTGCCAGCAGAATGTCGTATCTATCTCGGTTGTGACCGCTCTTCGCAGGTTTGGTTGTTGGTGCCCTTGGATGAGGTTTAGACACATTGAATGTCGGTAGCTAATCTTTAGTTTCACTTCAAGGGACACCAACGGAGAGTAGGTCATATGCTTCTGTACTTGGCACTGATTTTGATTGGTATATTTTGAAAGCTTCGGAAGCTTGATAGATGATGTTGGAGAGGCCTGCGTGATATGTTTACATCAGAAAGATATTTCAAGAAAAAATCGAGATTTTGAAGAATGCTAGTTCGTATCAATAGAATATTAGACAGGTTGGATTGTATCTATGGTTCGCATTTGGGGGTAAAGTGATGAAAGTTGTCAGGTTTTGAATGTATGAAATCTCTACAATTTGAGGATTGACCAAAAAAAGCCATCACCGGTTCTTCTGATCGCTATCTTATCTGGAGTTCTCAGGTGTGACCGCTGTGATGACCAAATTCGATCCTTCGGTGCATATTTCAATCCAGAATTCGCGGTGGATGTCACTTTGAGTTTTCATCTATTCCCATCTTTAATTAAGACAAAATACGTCACAAATACTGACCTTGAACTCTTGATTAGTAAGTGAGATCAATGTAGCATTATCAAGGAAGTTACACGAGCAAGGTCAAGGAAGGCTGGATTTTAGTTCTTCCGATATTTAATAATATTATCACCAGAACATCCAAACCCAGATATCAGTACTAAGCTCTCTAAGTTTGATGCTCGCATATACAGTCACAAGATTTTCGTAATACACATGGCGGTAAAATGAAATTTCACCGAATCCCTTTCTCCTACCGGGAGACACGAATAGACCTCGATTCAGCCACCCAAGGTTCTACGACTTCAATATGCTTGCCTGCAGCATCATCAAGTTTTTCGAGTATCAACTACAAACGGCAAATTCGATCTGATTCTCAAACATCTGACGATGAATGTTCTTTTAGACAAAAATATTTAGCTTCCTCCTCAGCAATATATCATCGTAATTATCACCATTCACCCAGGAGTTTTCTCTGGAGGGTGACTGAAAATGCAAGGGTTCTATCCATACGAATTGTGGATATTTTTCCATACAATCCTGATGATAATACAGCCATGACTCTACGTCTTGTCTTCCCTCACGCAATCTTGCCAGATTGTGTCGCACTGTCTGACTTCCAGGAGAAAGACTCACTCAGCATATTTGTACTTACTGACGCGAAGCAAGTCTGGACTCTCGACATCTATCCCTATTTTTTTTTTCGAGCGACAAAGATTGACGAGAAATACACCGACTGGTATCATGCATACTCCCCTAGATCTCTAGGAATTAAGACCCCGCATAGATTAATTGCTTTAAGTGCTGCAGAACTTTTAATATCTTTTCATGATGGCGCACTCGTGAGACTAGATAGAAATCCCAACGTTTCTGGTAATCAAATCTTACGTTAGACCCAAATATTCCGAGACTAATTAGTTCAGGATCTTTCTGGAAAGAACAACAGTATAACGAAGGCGGGTGGGGGCATAGTTTCAGGAGCATGGTGCCCTTTGCAGGCAGTAACGGGGTTCGATATAGAGACCAAATAGTACAGGGATCAGCTGCAACTTCGATCGCGTCACCAGTCACTCAAATTAATAAAAATTCATTTGCGTTTACAGTAACTATTGATCATCGACTTCGAATCTGGAATCTTAGTCTAGGAAAAATTGCTTATTCAGGAGATATTCTGACTCAAGAAGCAGAAGTGCATGATGGCTCTAAAAAGATAATAGATCCATCTTACTCGCAGCTAGTCAAGGTTGTGCGAGATTGGGATGATAAAATAATTTGTGCGACTTATTCGCCACTCGGCTCTGGCGAATTCAAATTTTGGAAGGTTATTGATCATGAAGATTTCAAATTAGAACTGCTGGATCTTTTCCCAGAGAATGTCTTAGTTCCTCAAGCGCCAACATCTGATATATGGAACGTAGCAGACTTTTCTGTCATCATGGACAAAAACCACGAAGGAAAAGTGACTCTCTGGATCCTCTGGAAAAACAATGTAACTTATCGACTTCACAAACTTGAATTCAAGACTGGATCTATTGGACAAGTACGAACTTCATGGAGTGATAAATGGGTAGCTGTTGCCCTTGATAAGCTCGAAGAAAGTTCATTACCCACAATACTACCTAGTGATCCATTAGACGCAACTGACAAGTGGCTTAAATTTATTTTAAGCCCTGGTAGATATACAATCCCGACAATCGAGACTGGACTTGCAATATATGAACATGGCCTTGGCTATAAAACAGATAGTAACGGAAAAGAAAGATCCTTGGCGAGCCGGATGTGCGCGGCTATCGCCTCAACTTCGACATTAACTCACATGTCTGATAACATAAGTTTTGAGCAGTTTCGCTCTAGTACACATATTCAGTGGCTGAGGTTCTATCGGCTATTAAACGATCTCCACAAGCAGCGAGGTGAGGCAATGTCTCTCACCATCGAACCTGAAGGACTTATGCCATTGGTTGTATTAGCAGATGGTGTCTCGGTTATTCGTACATGCAGCAGCTTAGAAAGGGTCTGGTACAATAATGAGCATATCAACGGAAGCGATACCATTTCGTCCCTTCTATATTCAGCAGCAAATTTTTGGGATTCACTACCCGATTATAGCGTCAGAGCCTGCAGCTCCGCGTTACTTGAGGAAGTTCATCAAGAATCATCTCTGTTAGACTCTGCAAGAATGACTGAAATATATGAAAAGTGTGACTTTATCAACCAAGTCACCAATGAAGACTACGATGAATTATTCAGGATTCTTGGCGAGCATATCAGCGATCTAACCCCAGAAGTTTATGCTACTCTCATAGAGCTTATTAGCCCAGCCGAGGGAGAAAAGAAATTCTTGCGTGCGCGTAATCTTGCAGAGTTCGGTAACAAATTACTGGTTAAAGGTGTGCAAGATACTGTCGAGCTTCACAGATCAATTTGTCTAGAGCAATTGATTATTGCTATGTTCACAGAATTTGAGCTCATTGACGAATATAATGGAAAAAAGATAGAAACTGTACCTACTTTTAAGCAATTACTATTAATACTAAAGAGACTAGAACTTATTCGCTGGCTTACAAACACACAGATCTGCATCCCGCTTAAATCTCCAGACTACGCTGAAGATTCTCAAGACAATCGAGCCCTAACCAAACTGGCCACAGAGGGCGTACAGACAATTACTATTTTTGAAGGAGTTTTAGGTCATCTTTTCAGCCTAGATCTGGATAAAACCGGGAGTCTGCCATCGTTGGTCACAGATGCAATAGTAGGACTCTGTGCCCACCAAAACCGATATGAAACTCCAACTGCGGTAATTCAGTGCTTTCTGCTCAAGCATAATCGACCCGACTTGAGTATAGAGTTTTCTAGATTTAGCGGACAAGACGCATTCTCTATCTATATTATGGGTAGAACACACCTCATCAACGATGAAATTGTGATAGCGGCGGAGTTTTTCAAAAAAGCCGCTTTTGGAATGGGCATGTATCTCTTCGAAACTTATAGGAATATTACTAATCAGGATAAAGCTTATGCTCACCCTTATCAACCATGTGACCATCGAAGTGCAGGTTATCTTAATGAGAGTGAGAAGCTACTGTTCAATGCAGGACTTCCCAAATATTACGCTCATATAACGGACCTTTTTGAGACGCAAGAGCTTCACTCATTCGTAGTCGACTTTGCACGGCTCTCCATCCAATTTATGAAGTTCGATGAGAGCGAATATGACCTTCACCAACGGATGTGCACTAGTCTCTTTAGCGCAGCTCTTTACACTGCTCGGTACGAAATTGCATACTCCTCATTGCTCCAGTTCAAGAAAGTAGGACTTCAGGCTTCTTACCTCGAGATACTAATCACAAAAATGTGTGAATCATCACATGCCTCAGAGCTCATCGAATTTCCTTTCATTGGCTTGCATGATCAGGTCGATCGGATTTTGAGCCAAAAATGTCAGAATATTACTAACATCTCTCACGGTGTACCCTATCACAAGATTCTCTATGCATGGCGCATCCGACGTGGAAATTTTCGTGGTGCAGCTGCCACACTCTTTGAGCGTCTGCTATTCTTAAAGGATACACGGGATGGCGACAAGATGATTGAAAGTAATGACGATCATCTAGAAACACCCGTCACTCGCCAGTATATTTCTCTCCTTAATACGTTAGGTTGCGTGGATCCACAACAAGCATGGATTCTTTCAGAACACCAACGACCACCGTCGTATACCCACACCAGAGCGAATGTAGTGCCTGAGGTGTCACCAAAGCGCGTGTTGATTACCCTGGCCGACCTGAAGCGGAGTTATCACGAAGAACTGGACCGTATAGCTACAATCCAAAACAATCAGTTCGCCTTTGCAGGTGGCGATGAGATGGATGTATTATGAAAACTTTTACACAATTATAGATTTTACAACTTAACCACTTGACATTGGCGTAGGGGAACGGGCCTTAAACTTCATGTACAGTAGTAATAATAATTTAGGGGATAATATAGCCTACCCAGTTAAAACATTTGCCGAATCAGAAAAACTCCATTTCCCTTTTGACTTCTCATCACTCCGCAGTCCTAACCTACACTGATTACTAACTGCCCTTTAATTTTTATTAATAGACTTTAAGATGTCGAACCTGGGATACCTGTTTTTGTTTATTTACTCCTGATACGTGCTCTATGCTTGAGGAATAGGGGTTCTTTCTGGTGGAGGGGTTCCGGTAATTTGGGTTTGCTGGCCAGCTCCAGCCGCGATTTCAGGAGGCTGGCGATAGAGGACAATTTCGGATTGTTTGAAGTAGCGTCGGGCGTCTATTGTAAATGTTAGTCGAAAATAAGGTGAAAAGGCATACAGATAAGATATTCTTTGGGTTCAAACCTTCATCAATAAGAACAAGACTCAAATAGTACCGGGTGGAGTATTTCTTATTAACCTCACGGAAAGTGGGTGTGAGATCAAAGCCACCTAGAAAGAGGCGAATAGGAATTGTTTCCCCCCGGGATGGAGATCCATCCATTATCTTAAGAGTCAGTCAAAATATTGCTCGGACAGCGTCGGCTGAGATTCCCACTTACTTCAAATCGGACCAACGTCTCACTTTCATTATACTGGTTGGGAGCAGCGCCCGTAGTTTCACGACGGATAATAGAGAGCTCCATGTGTTTAATCTTGAGTCTAACGAGCAGGAAGTAAATTCGGCCGACAATAACATCTTTGAGGTGGTATTTGGACTTTGAGTACTCAAACTCAATGTGTAGACAATCCTCGATACCCACGTCCATTTTTATTGAGCTGTTCATCTCGGGAGGAATGCGATAGGAATAGACCCAGATATCCTTCTCGCGGATGACGTCGGCCATACGGCGGGAGACGGTGACCCGTACAAAGTAGCGTAAACGGACATTTATTCCGCTGTAGGACTCGTATTGCTTTTCGACGTTTTTGAAGTTGAAATCAAATGCCTGGGGGTGTTGCAGGTCGCCTGGAGCAGCAAGCTCTTGTCCAAAGGAGAGAAACTCATATTGATTTCCACGATCAAAAAACATCTCTATCAGTTCCTTGTCAGTCTGGTCCAAGACGATGGAGAGCACGAATCCAAAAGTATGTGTGTTAGAGCTTACCTACCAATGGTCCCGATAAATTGTACCTTGATACCCGTGTGTTCTAGTCTCTTGCCATCTTTGGGTCGTATGGTAACGGCTCCCTTGACGGATTCGCCATCTTGATACAGCGGTGCCTTTTCTCGACGGCCCTTTTCAGTTTTGGTGTCCACCATCTGCCGATGATCGCCATCCTCGAGCACAATGTCAATGTCGACGGGCGAAGAAAAGAAATACGACATGCTTCCAGGTAAAAAGCGAGGATTCCAGGACCGCGGAAAAGAGCGGCTCTAATGTTGGGATGGCCACAATTTCGGTAGAGAAGATGCGGCAACGACCTCATGGGATTATTAAGCTTCAATCGGGGAGGCAGATCACATCGGCAAGGCTGCCCGTCAACGAAAGCACCATCAGCCTTACGCATTACGAGCGAACAGGGTAGTAATGGGAATAGAGGTTAGAACTGCTACGTTTCTCGTTGTGTGGCTCCCTAATTCCTTCAAGCTCCGCACACTTGCAACATTCTAGTTCCACCTGAGCCTGCTGTACTCAAATTGGCTTAAAGAGATTAATAAGCAGGTCTTCTACAGCACCGACTTTTTGCGCGGCTGAGTCCCCTTGTCATTTGTGGCATCAGAGCCATAATGTCGCTGCAGGTTTACGTTAACAGTATGGCTTCTTCTCCAACCTTCTTCTCTACAGATTTAATTCGACCAGGCTTGTGAGCATTCTGACAGCCCGTTAGAAAAGGTACTGGTCCTGACCAGTGATTCCCGAACGCTCCTAGGCACATTACTTTCGTGTGATCAAATGACCAATCTCGTCAGTGATCATTATGGCTTTTGACCGATAATTCGAGTGCGTTGCTAATATTTGCGAATAGGTCCTCTCCAATACGATTGAGCGTATAATCAGGCCGCCGGAGGATATAGAAGCTTCCAGCGAAGTTTCACATGGTCTTTATCTCGTTCGTGGCGATAATGTCGCGTGTGTAGGTCTCGTAGACCAAGAACTAGATGATTCAATCAGCTGGACAGAAGTGAGGGGGGCCGTCATTGGAGGGATCAAACATTCGTGATTACGCTGCATCTGCTCAAAAACGGTTATCGACTGGGTTGGTAAAGGATCAGTCTTAACTCTATGTGCTTTAGGTATCCACTGTCGGTGCTATGGGGATGCCTGCTCTAAAGTGCCGCGATCATAATGTCAACCCGTTGGTCCAACTACACCACGAGTATTTGTGAACGTGGATTGATCACAAATCACCCTCTTCCTGTGCCCTCTAGTCGCGATTAGTCACTTTGTTTGGTGCGCACGGTGGTGACTCCAAGCGTCGCTCATCCTAGAATTCTATTATTCCAATAGTAAGGAACTTATTGACGGTCTTCAACTATTCCTTCGGGGAGTCAAAGCATCTTGCAGCCAGTGTTATGGGTGAGAAGCTTTGATATGGCCGTTAGCACGTTGACCATCTACTTACTGTAGTCTACTATGGTCCTACGCTAATTTTAGCCGCCAACGGATCGTTATAGTTTGCCAGTTGAATCGCGCCTTGGCTTGCTGCTATATCATATGCTCAGTCTATCTTCCTAGCCGGATGTCCCTCAAAAGTATTTTTTGATGTTTAATCAAGTCTAGTTACACGGTCACTCGTAGATGTAGTCTACCTGTACACCCAAATGCTACTCTCTTATCAAAATTTATCGTTAATTTCCCGAAGATACCGTTCTCTCAAGGTTTTTGTCCCATTTTCTTTGTTCTTGTCCCATACAACAACACCACGCCACGTACCATGTCTGATCGAGTCTGTGATCCGAATTCACATCCTTATTTTCTTTTGCTACTTTGTAAAAAGTCCTAACCCTTTGATTACCCATTCAGAATCAGTTGAAATCACATAAACTCCTAGGAGATATCAGTCCATATTGGACTGTCTACCGAGAAATCTTCTTGACAGCACGTGATCTCGACATGTGAACCGCATCTTGAATCCCTAATTGTGCCGACATCAGTTATTGTGTACAACTCCAGGGTAAGACCAGGCTATGAGGATTTGCATAAAAAATTTGTTTTAACAATATTTGTAGCCCTCACTTGTAAAGTTTGTGACGCCGAGATTCACGGTATTCTTCGAGAGTAATGCCGGTAAAGACGAATTCTTCACCTTCCAGTGATGTCGGTATAATCGCCCTGTGTTCTCTATGTATCAGTGATCGCCGAGAAGAATCGCAACCGAATCGTAGTCGAAGGTAACTTCAAACATATCTAAAATCAACGACTCCTCGTCAATGTCGGCCCTTTAGTTTTCACGCGAGTCCTCTATTTCAATCTCATTACACCACCTCGCCTCGACTGCTGACAAGGAGGTTACTCCAATTGCAAACGGTAGCCTGCTCCATTAATTACCAGCCGTCTACCACTACAAAATCACAACACCACATTTACCTGCACAGAGGAAGATAAGTCGTTAGATGCAAATCTTGAGGTTTGGGTTGTGGGGGATTACTGTTCCCATGGAACTCTACAACTTGAGGAAGAAGAGACGAATGGGATGTAAAATGAGAGAGAAAAAAGATCAACAATCGGCTTGCTGGGACTCACATATTTCGAGGGGATTACACTTTTAGGCGCTATTGTGCGCCAAGGCCAGGATTTCGGACAATGCTACTGACACTTGCAACAGGCAACGATAGAAGTCGTCGTGGTCCGCCTCCTGGTCATCATCTACCCGAATTAAAGTCTGGGTAGCCTGGACGTCTATCTCACTCGAGAAAGAGAGGATTATGGGGCCATATCCCGCTCGGTGGCTACACACAAGATGTCAAAGGCATGTTAGGGTAGCCAAAGGGTTTTCCCGTTTTGCCATTGGTGGATATTTACAGTTGAGGGAAAGTGGAAAGTCCCTAGCACCAAGGTCTCGAGTGGTAACAGCGAATTAGTCCACTAATTGAGTGGCCGAAATTTCAAGCTGAGTTATCGTAGTACATAGTCGCCGGAGGAGCTAGTCTTTCCCGTGTCATGCTCTACGAGAGCTAGGCCTGTTCCCGGCACGAAATGAAATCTATATATTCATCAAGAAATCTTACTATTATGTAATATTGCTACGAAAATATTTAAGCTCCATAACGGGATCTACAGGCCAGTAATTGACCCGCGGCCCGGACCGTGCGGGTCTTCATTAATAAGCAATGCAGGTCGTCATTTTCGGCTCTACAACACTTTTAAAGTGTCGCGACCACTACTCTGAACCTGATGTGACTGCTCAATGTCATGTTGAGTCTAAAACAGAACTTAAATGTAGCTACTTTGGTCTACGGGGTCGGGATCATCCATGTGGTGGATAATTCACCTTAAAGTGTCTCCTTTGCCGCCTTCGTCTAGCGGTAATATCCCTCGTACATTTCCCTTGGAATATACATCTGGATGGTCACACCCCTGATCGAGTTGGCCTAAAGTTGCGGAGGCAGGAAGCAGTTTGAACTAGTCTATCATATGTAGGTTAAAATAAAGCTCGTCTCAAGAGCAACAAACAACCGAATAAGCGCTACCCATATTACCCCTATGAATATCAGTTACTAAGACTGAACGCTGTGTTCTGTACAAACTGGGGAGTGAAACATTCTCTCGGAACCAAGTTCAGCCAAATTTTGCAACGCCAAAGAAGTTGGCCCACGAGGCGATGATTCAAGAAACTGCACCATGCCAATCTTTCACTCCCAAAAACATCAGCTCCCACCAAAACTTCTTCAAGTTTACAAGGACGACCTAGTACATCCTCATTTCAATGGGTGGCTTCTCTTCGACTTTCTCTAGCTTCAGCTAAAAACAAAATATACGCCATCGCCGATATTTATACCCGACGGAGAAAACGAAGCATGACGCACCAACATGGGAGATATTTCTTTGGCATGGGCATGAGAGAATACACGCTCAACGGTGGACAAGACACTATTATGAGTGACACGCCTCAACCGCTCGGACATCTATCTTGTAGACTAGTCTGGTGTACTAATAGTTGTCCAACTTTATCAACAGATCATATTGGTGTGTAATAGATTTTGTATTTTTCTTATCATCCCAATTTGAAACCTTAGAGGCCTATGCAGATATGTATGAACTTAAGATTTTAGCTGGAAAAACTCGATAAAAATCCCCAAATTCAAATATTAGATGTCTTTAGTTTTCCTTTTTGTCCTTGAGGAAGCGCAGCTATATAATAATGTCCGCTATGTAAACCAGACAAATTCTCTCTTATCACCCCTATAGGTTGCTCGCCCTGTATCTTTTCCCCAGCAGTATTTCGAAGGCCTTTGTTACCTGGAATTGCTCTATCCAACCATAACCCAAGGTCTGCTGTGTAATTATTTTGATTTCACAAGTCTTATTTATCATTGCTTCAAAGGACAGAACCTTGCTTTGTCTCCAAATCTTCCCTCTACCATTTGACCATCGACGATAGGACATAATTTTATTCTTCGAATTCCATGATTGTTAGCCACATAGACAGCTTAGGGTTTAGACTCGTGGTATTATCTTCTAATATAATACCGGTTGAGCCCCATGTGCTCGCTTAAAATTTGCATTGGTAGGCTATTTTAGGCCCTTAAAAGAGTGAGTGAGTCAGTGAGTTAGTGTTTATTGTCCTAAAAAGTCTATGACTATGTAAGGAAATGTAGGTCCTTCCTGCTTAGATGCCGGGAGTATCTATGCCTCGGGTAGTGTACTCCCTCCTATGCCCCCCTCACGCCTACTTTCCAGCAGTAATACCCCCACAGCTCTTTATTCGAGTACACACTAAGAGGAGCCGTTATCCCGTCATCATCTCCCCTCTCCAGACTACAAAACGATGGCCACTTGCGTGTGTATTTTTGCATCAGATTTTTATTGCGTATGCAGCTATCTAGCTATGACACAATATCAAAGAGAAGTACAGAAAATATGACTCAATCTACAAGAAGAGCACTCATGCCTCGGATTTCATTTGCAAGTACCACTGCGAAGTTATGGTGGCTTTTTCTTCACCCCAAGTCAACCCTCATCCGTGAATACCCACCCAGGGAAACGTCTCAAAAACCCTGAGTTATCCAGACATGCCTTCATCATCTTTCAACTATTCTCCGCGCGATATGTGATCTGAGGTGTCTCTTTCCCAAGTGGAATAGGTGCCCAGGCTACTCAAACTATACCAGAGAACATCACCAGGAGGTGGATCACAACACCTTCCATCGTTTGCTTGTGTTTATGGTGTCAGCTTCACTCTCGCAAGCGAAGTCTTGGCGCGCACAAAGCTCAATTCGTTAAACTCTCGCCAAAATTCGAAATTTCACGCCTGTCGAGTTTGTATCCCTCTTTTGCATTATCTCGTAAACTTGTCCTGATCCTTCTCACGTCCATCCCAAAGAGCTATCTCCTAGATTTGTGCTCCACGCTTTGCTTCCTCCGTCGGGTATAAATGTCGGCGTGGGCGTGTATTTGGTGGTCAACTGAGGCCAGAGAAAGTCGACGAGAGGTATGGTCATTGAAACAAGGATGTACTAGGTCGTACTTGTAGACTTGATGAAGCTTAGTTGAGAATCGGACTCTTTGGGAGTGAAAGATTGACATGGTAGAGTAATTTGAACTTTTGCCTCGTGGGCCAACTTCTTTGATATTGCGAAATTTGACTGAACTTGGCTCTGGGAGAATATTTCACTTCCAGGTTCGTAGAGGACACCGCGTACAGGTGTTCAGTCTTGCCCTCCATTTGCGGGTATGTAGCTGCAGGGAAAATTCTCAAAAACCACTGGGTGCGGGGCTCTCCTATGACGAAGAGGCCGGCCAGCCAGGTGCAGCAGACTTGTGTATACCTAAGGGCGTCTCTCAACCTTCCTAGCCTCCTACTTACTCCTCCCCTGATCCATGCCGCAGGACAAACCGAAGGTCGTGAAAGGATGTCAGAAAAGTCTTGGTCGAGAGTGACTGTCGTGAAGGAGCCTAACCTAGCATCCAAAAGTCGTTACGGACGTGGGGTCTTCGAGTAACTCGTGTATTTCAGACGCCCTCCTGGCTAGTAGATTCGGAAGTATAGATAAGAAGGGA